AGCCGGGGCGGATCCAACAAGGGGCAGCCATTACTCCTGGGCGGGTGGCAGGGGAGGGGGCAGTCCTGCGCTCCCGGTGTGACCTGCCCTCACTCTGCAGCCCAGCAGTTGACCTTCATCCAACCCATCACTATCTTCCCCACTATGAGTAGTAAGTAGAAGCTGCCACTGCCAATGGGGGCGGGAGGGTGTGCCAGCCCTGGGAGGGGGGTGGCGGGCGGGTCACAGAAGTGGGATAGAGCTGGAACAGTGAGGGGCAGCTGGGACGGCCTTGGGCACAGCTGGGAGCTTTCCCTGTGGACAGCTCTCCTGGGGCTGCCCCAGGGTGCTGGGCAGGGCGTCAGGGGTCTTGGGGAGAATCAGAGATGCCAGGGGGAGTGGGGCAGGCGCAGTGGCTAGAGTGTCCCCCGCCGGGCTCCCCACTCCCAAATCGAGTCCCTCCTCCTGCGCAGCACTCCCTGTGGGGGCTGGGTGTGGGCAGTGGCTTCCGGCAGCGGCCCCACCAGGCTCTCCCCACAGCCCTGAACCCCGCACACAACGGGCGGGTGTGCAGCACGTGGGGCGACTTCCACTACAAGACCTTCGACGGGGACGTCTTCCGCTTCCCCGGACGCTGCAACTACGTCTTCTCCGCACACTGTGGCGCCACCTACGAGGACTTCAACATCCAGCTCCGCCGTGGCCTGGCGGGCTCCAAGCCCACCATCACCCACGTCACCCTCAAGACGCAGGGGCTGGTGCTGGAGCTCTCCAACAGCTCTGTCCTCCTCAACGGGCGGCGGTGAGTCCCGCCTCGGGGGGCGGGCGTGGTGGGACTCAGCGGGGCTGGGGATCAGAGCTGCGGGGAGGGCGCTGGGCCCTGCCTGAAGCCAAGGCCCTGGGAGGACCAGAACTCTCCACCACAGGGAGGAGCTGCCCTATAGCCAGGCCGGCCTCCTGGTGGAGCAGAGCAGCGACTACATCAAGGTCAACGTCCGGCTGGTGCTGACCTTTATGTGGAACCGAGAGGACAGCGCCCTGGTAAGACGCTTGCCTGTGCCCTTCCCGCCCCAGCTGGGGGGACCCCCGCAGGGGGTTGGTGGGGGGGCCCTGCCAGTCTAGCAGATGCTGGAGCTGCTCCTGCCCCGCCCCTAGCTGGAGCTGGACCCCAAGTATGCCAACCAGACGTGTGGCCTCTGCGGGGACTTCAATGGACTACCAGCCGTCAACGAGTTCTATGCCCACAGTGAGTGTCCCCCAGAGTCAGGGACTGGCAGGCGGCAAGCGGAGGGCTGGACAGTCCCAGGGAGGCTGGGAGGGGGGGCTCAGCCAGGCACCGGACAAGGAGCAGACCGGTGGGTGTCCTGGGCATGGGCAGGGGTCCCCTGGCAGCATCCCCTGCACGGCCCCCGAGCCTCTGTGACCCCACACGGAGTGTCCCCTCTCCGCAGACGCGAGGCTGACCCCTTTACAGTTCGGGAACCTGCAGAAGCTGGACGGGCCCACAGAGCAGTGCCGGGACCCCCCACCCTCCGTAGCCAACAACTGCACAGACAGGGTGAGCGCCTCTGCAGGGGCCCAGCCCTCCTGCAGCCCCTGCTCTCCAGGGCATGGGCACAGCTGGAGGGCAGGGCCTTGGGTGTTAGCTGAGGGAGGTTCTCCTAGACCCAGGCAGCCCAGGGCACGGCCTCCGCTCTCCAGGTGACCCTCTGCACCGCCCCCCCCAACGCACACATCTAAGCATGCGAGTAACACATGTGTAAGGGTGGTGTGCCTTGGGCACGTGTGCACGTGCAAATACATTCCCCCCCCACAATCCTGCTAAGAGTGGGGCACTCAGGGAGCCCAGGCCAGGAAGCTCTTCCAATGATCTGGGAGGACCCCAGCTTTAGAAGCTGTCTGGAAGCTCTGGGACCCCCAAAACCAGCAGAAACCCGAGCCTTCAATCAGGGCACAGAGGCACAGCCCACCCCAGCTGCTGAGGATGCACCTGCCCCTCCCCTTGTCCAAACTGCGCCCAGGGGCAGGGTCTGCACCTTTCCTGGGTGCCCTGTGGTGTGTCCTAGAGCCATGGCTGGGTGGGTGGAGTCCAGGGTCGTGGGTCGCTCCCCAGAGCCCAGCAGAGCTGTGTCCCCAGTGGTGGCGAGCTCATAGGGATTGAACAGAAATGGTGGAGGGAGGGAGGGATGGACACACAGATGGGTGGAAGCAGCCACAGGGGAAGAAGGGGGCTGCCTGGCCTGGGTAAAGGAGCAGTGCCAGGGCCCCCACCAGACCCCACATGGAGGGCAGAGCGTGCTAGCCTCTGTGCTCCCCAGGAGGGCGTCTGCCACCGCACGCTGCTGGGGCCGGCCTTCGCCCAGTGCAACTCGCTGGTGGGCCCGGGCGCGTACATGGCCGCCTGCGCCCAGGACCTGTGCCGCTGCCCCACCTGTCCGTGTGCCACCTTCGCCGAGTACTCCCGCCAGTGTGCCCACGCAGGGGGCCAGCCGCAGAACTGGAGGGGCCCGGACCTCTGCCGTGAGTGCCCCACCAGGGCCTGTGCCGGGCCCTGAGTTCCTGGGGAGGGGCTGAGGGGGGGACCCCTGGGAGGACGCCCAGCATCTGGCTGGGAACAGAGCAGGGCCCACAGTGAGAGGACAGGCGGGAGAGCGGAGGGGAACTTGTAACAAGGGGGGCTGGGGGCCCCGAGGGAGGACCCGGCCTGCGCTCCCCTCACCTCCTGCCTCACCCAGAAGACGGCTGGCGTCAGCGGCTCCTGGGCCCAGCTGTGGCTTTCAAGGCCCCTGGTGGCACATGGAAGGTGGGAGTGGAGGTGGCCGATCTGGGTGCCTGGGTGGCGTCTGGGGGCCAAGCACTGTCTCCTCCCTGCAGCCCGGACGTGCCCCCTCAACATGCAGCACCAGGAGTGTGGCTCGCCCTGTGCCGACACCTGCTCCAACCCCGAGCGCTCCCAGTTCTGTGAGGACCACTGCATCGATGGCTGCTTCTGTCCCCCAGGCAGGTCCTCCTAGCCCTTGGGGACTGTCGCCCACCCGGACCCTTTGCCCCCATCCCCGTGGCAGCCTCCGGGCACTATGCTCCCAACACCCAACCCTAGCCTCAGCTGCCTTGCTCACACCCCTCAGGCACGGTGCTGGATGACGTCACGAACACGGGCTGCCTGCCCCTGGAGCAGTGCCCCTGCACCCACGGCGGCCACACCTACACCCCGGGCGCTTCCTTCACCGCCAGCTGCCACTCCTGGTAGGGCCCCCGGCGCCCTGTACCACGGGGTGGGGGGGGTGTGTGGCGGGGTCCACCTCTCCCCTCACCAAGCCCCTCTGTGCATGGCCCCTCCCCCAGCACCTGCTCAGGGGGGCTGTGGCAGTGCCAGGACCTCCCGTG